ATCAAGCTGGACAGCACAACTTATGGCCAGTTTTGAAAATTTTGTCTTCTTAAAGCCAGCTTCTCAGGTAATGTAGACACAAAACACACCTTGAGCAGTACTATAAACTGAAGCGTCATGGAAGAATTAGTGAACTGGCAATTTAATAAACCTTTCTGTAAGTCTGGAGAAGCCTTGCTGGCCCAACAGTTATATGGCAATGTTTAAGGCAAGGTAATAAAAAAGGCTAATAGATGGAGAAAAAAAAAAGTGATCGCAAAGAAAACAAATGGAGAGGAAAAAACCTTAGTTAATTCCTTTATCTCCAAGTCAATAGAAAAGGTTTTGTTAAGGCTCATTTGATGCAAGCACTGTGTGAATTATTCCTAAAGCCAAGTGATCACTAGAAAGATGCTCAATTTTAAACTTTGTTCACCTCTGTTACTGCTATAAAAAGGCACTATGGTAACAGATGGGCAATTAAGCAGAAATATATTGGTCAAGCTTTAAAGTTACACAGCATTAGCTAAACTAAACATGTCACAGAGGAGAGAATGTTCCTAATAGCAGTTATCCTATCATATCAAATAAACCATAATTATAAAAAGGCAATGTTTCCCTTGGGCAGGTTTCTCAGGTCATGGGTGAAACTTTCAGTTAGACTTGACTTCAGAATAACCAGTGGCAGAGCAGTGACATTTTTGTTATAGCACATAAAGATTACCAGAAGACCAAACAGCTACAGTTCCACATCAGGATTCATGAAAAGACAGTATTGGCCTAACTCACTACAGTTGCCATTACAACCAAAGCAGACTGGCTGTACTTCAGGTAACAGAAATAAATAGCTTAGATTAGAATATATGTATGTATTTGTGTCTTACAGCTATCCTCAAAGTGTCAAAGTGCTGCATTTTCACCTCTGCACAAAATTTCAGTCACTATGAATCTTAACTGATTTATGAAATTAGGCTACCAACAACAATAGGTCTAAAACTGCATTAAAAATTCACCAACTATAAATAATTTCTCAGCTACTTAGCTAGCTGCTGCTATCATCATGCACTCCCTATTCTTTCAACCAAAGAATAGCAAAGCAGATATCCGAGACCTGGCCAAACCCGAAAGCGGATTTTATTTAGCAAGTTAGACTTGTTTCTACTCAAAGTCTGAATGCATCATCTTCAACCAAGATCTGCCTTGAGGAAATTAAAGTTGCTCAATAGGCAAATTCCAAAGTGAGAATAGCAAACATGCTTCTGTGTTCTCTATATACGGTGCACAAAGAAACAGTTTAAGTGAGGGAGGCCAAATGAAAGTTTGGCCCTCTGCCACTTTTCATCTTCTCTGAATGCTGCAGTTACTCCTATTATAAAACCTAATTTTACATCCGATTTTAGTTATTATTTTTGACTACATGCTCCAAGGCTTTTGTTTTTTTACTTCCATAAAAGCACAGTGTATTATTAAACTGATAATTCACTTCATAATCACCTAATTTCAAGGGTGATGCCAGCAAAGAGACAGCTGGCACATCTCAAACCTTGGCTTGCAATACGTCAGCTAGATATCTACAGCACACACAGGATCAAGTACTCCATTCCTCAGGATGCAGACCTTCAGAAATATTGCATCAGGAGCTGGACAGTCCAAAAAGCGAAAACACTGGTTCATGAAAAATGTCATGGTCACAGCATTTGCTTTCATTCTGTCCTAAAACAAATCCATGACAAGTCCCCCACAGAATGCCCTCTCCTGCAGGCCGTTAGCCTCTCTAAATCCCTCTCATTGGGCCTGTTCCACTCTGCCTAAATAACCAACTACTCAGTGGGGTAGAGAGGGACTGAATGTATGGCCTAGCGATTAGTACACCCATCTGTGATGCGACAGACTCATCTTCATTTCTCTGTTCATGACTGACTGTTGCATTGTTTCTCTCTGACCTAAAATTGTATCCTGAGCCTAAGAAATCTGGCTGAAACTCAACAGTTTTCCCGAAAAGTTTTAAATTTCAAGTAATAATGCCTTCCCCAGAAAGAAAAATTCCCAAATAGTCCTGATCAAGAGCACACGGCTGCCCTGCTGCAATTTACATCTTTATCTCAAAGCTGGGATCCATTGAAAAGAGTACTTGTAACACAGTATCACTTTGCAAATAGGCTAATATCCTTACAGGGACTCTTCTACTGTTTTATTTCCCTCCTTCACAAGTGCCTGAAATTCTATTGTGTTCTCTCTTTGGTAGCCAGGAGGCCTCCATGATCATGACCTACAATGCCCTGCTTGAGGTGATGATAAAGATGTATAAACCCATCCCTACTAATCCTGTAAAAAATTCACATTTCTTTAACAAACCTGATATAAAATCCATTGCTACCTATGAGTTTCTTGCAGAACTTCTCTCCCATCCCCCTTGAGAAGAATTGATAATATGAGGCTAATTCCCAATGACTATCCTGAGAGAAGTAACATGACCGATATCGATATGCTCCGAGTTCTCCTTGAATCAGATTTTCCTTCTGAAAGTCACGCAAACAAAGAGGCCGAAGTTCCTGAATAGGGCACCAATGAAACCTAACAATTTGCTATCTTGTCTTAGTGCTATTGGCAAAAGTTGTGCTGTACCCGAGTTTAATTTTGCCTCGTATGCAATTCTTTGACTGCCGATACTTGGAAAAAATTTCGCTACATGCAAATTTAGTTCAGAAATCCATAAAACAAAGTATTCCTTATTTAACTTTTACAGCAAGAAAGGTTTATCCTTTCTTTGTGAAGCACTGAATAGAGTCCATAATAGCCTCTGAAAGGCTTCGATGACCCAGTCCTAATACTTTCTTGTCTGACTCCTGTACTCATGAGAGAAGCAAGATTTGTTAAGCAATATCTTTTATTGGGTAGTTGGGAGAGATGTCAGACAAGGTTTTGGCTACAAAATGCCCTTCCTCAGCTCTGGGAAAGAAGCAGATCTAACCTAACACAAATACCAAGTAGAACAATGACTTTTGTTTAACTTCATTATGCAAATGAAGATGATCATTTAAAAATGGGAGAGAGAGCAATAAAACTGTGAAGCAAAGAGAAATCATGAAAAGTATGTACAGTGAAGAGCAAAAAGCACAACAACATGTTTTGTTACAGTTCTTATCCTTGTGACCACCACCATAATTTGACCACTGAGGTTTAAGGATTACAGAAATAGATACTGCACATAGCAGCAAGGCCAAGAACAAGCAAAAAAAAAAATCACTAGAACAGTAAAACGTATTTACAGGTTTGGTTTAGCAGCATCTCTCCTTGGAGACATCTTACCAAACTCAAAACTGCTATTCAATGATTCTCTTCCTAGTGGGGCATCACTATCACTCATTTTCATGAAGACCAACTGTTGGCTATACAAGATGGCAGCCACGCTATAAATAAGGGCAGTAACTATACTGACATACCAGTATAATAAAAAATGCCATAATGGACTAAACCACCAAAACTTAAGGTGCATCAAAAATTACTAGGAAACAACACAATTCAGAAGCAGTAACACAGAAAGGTCTTCAGGACTCTGTGCATATGTGAAACAGGCTGAGCCTTTTTGGATAAGGCAGGATATAAACCTAAACAACAACAACAACCATCATTATTATCTTTGGGTTTTAAGATTAAGACCAGAAATTACAAAAAAAAAATCTTAGTAATGTGAGCATTTCTGTTATGGTGGAATCTCTTCTAAAGAACATTCATACCACAGATGTTTGGATGCACTGGAATCAGTTTATTTATAACAAAAAAGCCATCCAATTATGATCTTAATCCACCTTTACCCACTTTGCAATAGTTTCAATAACCCTCTTACAAGTCTTTTATAAATCCAAAGAAGATGCTGTTCTTAAACACGTTTACTATCATTCAGTTTCTGAAAACTTCTAGCAAGACATCAGGAACATCTCTGAAGGAATAGACAATGCTCCCTTTTCAATAATTCTCACTGAATTAATATACCTGAATTGTTTACTAGTCAAATTATTTTAAATAGCCTGATTAATCAGCATTCTTTTGATGGAATTACTCATATTCAATCCTTTTTATTTAAAAATACAAAAAGAATCTCAAAATGAGCAGTGGCTGGGTTTTTCTCCCTCTAAATCCAGAGAGTTAGGAACTGATTAGCTGACAAGACTTTGTTCTATGGGTGCAACTTTTAAAAACTACTGCCTCAAAATTTGAGACTGTAAAAACAATAGCTTTCAAATTTTAAATACCAGGGTTTTTTAAAACGGCAAAAGCTAATCTATTTGTACTTCTATATTAAAACCAGCCTATTGTGCAGATATCAACAAGTCCAATGAAAGCTGCATTTTACGAAGTCATATCACATCTACAATAGCTTTTGCATGATAGGCCTGTTAGATGCATGCCCTTTTAAATTTTCCAAACCACTAATAACTTTGATTTACAATTAAATTAATGCTAGTTTATAACAACTCTGGTTCAGATTCTTTTTTAATCTCTAGTATTTCCAAAAAACATTGTTTATATTATAGCATACTAATACAGGTGGCATAAACTCACCGTTGATATCACTGTTCAGGATAGCTGTCCTAATACCTAAGGCTCAAGAGTGCCTGTTATGCCACTGCCAAGAGACAGACAATCTTCAGCATCTTCAACCCATCATCTTATGCCTCTCTGAATGAGTTAGTCTGTAAGATGCCAGCAAGACAGCAGAACTCGATCCCTACTTCCACCCCATCTTCTCATTCCATCTACTACCAAGCAGACATTAGGTGACTAATATCAATATTTTAAGACTAGGAATCCCAGGTAAACCCAAACCATATTTAGAGGATCCATGCCCATTCCAACAACTGTAGACATAATTCAGTTGTGCACACAGCAACTATTTATAAGTGAGATGCACATATCCAAGATCAAGCAACTACTGTAATACTACATGAAAAACTGAGCCTCAAAATAAGCTTGCTAATAACAGGGTCTTTGGAAAGTCTCAAAATTACTAGTGATCTTACCTGCTTTATTGGAAGAGCTTGAATAGGTGATTAAATGAAGTGCCTGAACATAGGGTATTGTATTGAAATACTTTGCAGGATTTGCCTGGGCCACAGATTATTTTCTAAAGAAAAGGAAAACCAAGTATGATTAAAAAGAGATTAAAAATCAGGTTTGATTAGTTTTTCTACCTCATTAGTTAAGACAACTTTTCTACAGCTGGATTACAGAGTATTTTTAACACCATGTCTAAAACAAACACTAAACCACATGTGACACATTATAATTATTTAGCATCTTAAAACAATTTGTCATGCCAAACTTTTTAGATTGCAACAAAGAATCTTCTGTGATCACACTTGCTTTTTTCTTCTTTTTTTTTTTTTTGGAATGAAATATTAGGAACACAGGTTGAGAACAATGGTTTCTTGCAGGACCTACCCTAGTACATGTCTTAAGATTTTTTACAAACAGCTGATTTACAGTCTATATCCTCACATTACAGTGAAGATAAGTCAAAGTTTTGCAACCATTCAGCAAGATCCTTCCAAAAGCAACAAATAGATTTACCAATTCTTCCTATTGCTTACACTCCCCATTTTTTTCATCTGAATGAAGACACCTCTATAAGCTTATCATCATTCCATGCAAATTCAGAAAACTATCCTGATATCCAGAGTTACAAATATAAGGCAGATTTGTATTTTTCTAAAACATGGAGTACATGGTTCTTGGCAAAGAGTTATTGCAAAAAACATACCAAGTAGAATGAAACTACTCTTTACACAAAGAATGTGTCAAGCTGTAAAACAGATTAAACAAACAAACAGCCTAAGAATCTGCTCTACCATGTTGTGCGAGTGTCTACAGTAAGCATTTCTTTTCAGGGCATGTTTTAATAACTCAGGTGACAAAAATCAATATTTAGTAAAGGACAAGAAGCGCTGACGTGGAAAAGGAAGCCTTAGTTGAGAAGTGATTTGATGGAACTCTGGGACGCTCAAGGACAAATTGCCTTGTAACACCGACATAAATGAGTTATTTGCTTAAAACTTCAGAGTACTTGTATGCAAATCTGGTTTAAAGCAATGCTGTCTGCAAAGTACGTATTTATGTCTATGTGAAATTACTGCAAAATGCAGCACCTTAAAAAAAAGCAACTGATGAGTAAGCTTTCTGACACAAAAATGAACAGTACTTGGGAGGCTTTTTCCCCCCCCTTTATTTCAACACATAAAAGTACACACAGTTGAACCCATAAGAAAACACCCATACAAGTAGTGTTATCATTTTAGTGATAAAAACTGTTAACTTTTTGTTTTATATAGACAATCAGCAATCCTCTGGATCATGGTGTAAGTGTGAGAGATCTAGTCAGGTGCCTGATGAATCTACTTGTGGCTGACAAACCCAACTGGAGTGACACTGCTTGTTACAGACACCACAGATCTATGCCCTAAGGCCATCACACCAAGACCTTCAACACATATACCTAGGCAAGAGTATGGAGAAGTAGAGGCTGCCGTAGACCTACCATCCCCGCTTTAGACCACTGAGACGGAGTCCAAGGGCCAGACCAAGTCCAGACATTCAGTGCCTCAATGGTTGTCACTTCTGCCAGAGAGCAAGAAATGTGAGCTGCGGCTGACTGCCTAACACCTCAGCAAGGGCGCATTTCTGTCAGGGTGATGTCCCCTAGCCTTACTCCAACTAGGCAATACCCACAAGGCAGGGGAGGCTAGGGTTTTGAGGCACCCTATGCTCACCTTACTCTGGAGGCTGCAAAATCGTGGTATATTATAGCAGCTACCCCACCATGAGTAGCTCCACCACGTTGCCACTGGGCCCTCCAGTCGGATTCATAGATTTCATAGACATTTGGGCTAGAAGGGACCTTGCGAGATCATTGGGCCCAGCCCCCTGCCAAAGGGGCAGGAAGTCAGCTGTGGTCAGATGACCCCAAAGCATCCAAGCATATCTTAAAGGTAACCAGAATAGGTGCTTGCACCACTTCTGGGGGGAGTCCGTTCCAGACTCGGATGGTAACGAAATTTTTCCTTATGTCCAATCTAAAACAGTCTTCCAGCAGCTTACTGCCATACCCAGAACCAAAAGCTGTTATACGCTTCCGAAAGCTCATGAATTGTTTTATAATATGCAATTAAGATAAACAAAAGTTAAGCAACCAACAGAGAAAATTAACCCTGAACAGCCACAATATTTAAACCAAGTACATTTGTAGAGACAGTAGCCAGCACAATTAAACATTTACAACAGACCCACGTTTCCTGTACGCGAGGCTGAGAAGGGATCTCGTATCTGTTCATCAACTATTCTCAGGAACGGGCTCTATCATCTAACTGGCCTTGTCTGTCTCTGCCTCTCGCGATCCGTGTACGAGGCTGCCCCGGCAAGCCCAAGGAACTCATTTTGGGGAAAAGGTGCATCAGTAGCTTCAAGTAATATGTGCCACATGTGTTCTGGAGAACAGATGTTTTAATATTTCCTTTTAGGAGTTCATCATCGTATTCATCCATGTTAATGTGTCCACTGGGCTGTACAGCTTTCCTGGCATTTTCTTCACAAGGAGCAGAGGGCCGCTACCAGTCCCTTCCTGCTCGACTCGAAAAACGAATTGATCCGTCTTCCCAGTCTCTCCGCCCGCTTCATATGGAAACTCTTCGCTTTACTTCGTTTTTGTGAACGAGGGAATACAAAAGGTAACCTGCTTCCCACGCGGCGGAGGAAAGCTGTCACTCGCGTACCAGACCAAGTCACTACTTGGAGGAAAGTAGCCTAGAAGACATCCGTGCTCGGTGCGTCTTGCGCTTCCACGCTCGTCCCGTCGGGTCTCCTCTCTCCGCCGCCACGCCAGGCCCTGCAGGCTGCGCTGGGGTGGTTTGCGAGTCCTACAATGCACAGGCCTAACGGCGGTGAGCACGTGGCTGCCCCCAGACACCGCGCGGAAGGCGATGGCGAGGAGAAGAGCGACGAACACCCGCCGCTCGATGACCCCGAGCCGGGACACGCAAGGGCATGATGAAGACAGGCGAAGAGGAGGCGATGTGATGCAACGCAGGCTGCAGGTCGGCGATCCCCCGGCCCGACAGCACGTGCAGACGCCCCCAATCCCAGCTCCATCACGGCCTCAAAACAACGCATATCCGCACCCAGGCTTGGGAGGCGACCGGCCCTCGACGGTGACAAGGAGGGAACGCATAGGAAGGGGAAAGAGAGGGCGCCCAGGCCCCTCAGCACCCACCCCCGGGCCGGGCAGGGGCTGTCCCGCATGGCCCCGTGGGGCCTCGGCCTGACGGGATGCGGGGAGCTCACAGCGGGGCACTGCCCCGGCCCCGACCGCCGCCCCGCAGGGAGGCCGGTTCCCGCGCGGAGGAATGGGGCAGGAAGGGGCCCAGCGTTGCCCTGACAACCGCCCCCCCCCACCCCAGCGAGGACGTACCTGGCGCGCGACTCCCGCTGCAGCCCCCGAGCCCCGCTGACACCGAGGCGGAAGTGCGGCCCCCAACATTCGGCGAGTGACGCTGCAAGCGACCAATGAGAACACCGCGGCCCTGGCGAAGTGGCTAATCAGACCCTCCCCAGGGCGGGGCGCA